GAAGTAGTACTCTAAAGTCTTCCAAGAACTTTGATTTTGTAGTAACATGGTAGGTTGTACAAAATTACTTTGAATATAATTTTATTAGAAATCAGCAGATACAACATGTTTATATTTTTTTATACAAGTATATGTTTTTAAACACTATATAATCCTATATACTATAGGCCAAACCCTATATTTAAAATATATAGTTGGTATGAAAAGTGTTGTGTTTTTTTTTTTTTAATACATGGAATAATAAAGTCCATAATTACATTCCAGTGTGTTTTCATTGCTATTCCTTGCACTCGCTCAAACACGCACAGATATGAGAAAAGCTCTATAGGTGCAGTAAGCACATCTATTATGATGAAGTGGCAATCTTTATGATTATCTGAACTATATTACTGAACAGCAAAACAAAATCATGCACAGTAGATTTAATAGCATAAAATCTTGATTTGATACATACTGGTGTTGGTTTTCCTTCCTCAGCTTTCTGTGAAGATTCATTGTACTATAATCCATGATATTTTCCCAGTTCAGTACAAATGAATAATAATTAAGCCAGGTCATGGAGCTCTTGGAAAAAAGATCAACCCACTATATAGTAAAGGTGCAGAGATCAGATTCTGCCCTCCATTTTTCCAGAACAAATCTGAAGATACCAAACTGAATTCTGGCCTATTGTCAACTAAATTCTGAGATCTTATTGCAGATTTATACCGGCGTGAGTAAAAACAGAGCAAACCAAAGGTATCTCTTTGAGTCTCACAGGATCCAGATATTCCGCATGTGCATAACTGATTGCTTTACTGAATTAAGTAATTTCATTACATAAATATTATACTAGTTTTAATCCTACTGCAAATCATCTGGCGAATGTAGTTGCAAAGCCGCTGGCCATCATATTTGAGAAATCATGGCAGTCAGGTGAAGTTCCCGATGACTGGAAAAAGGGAAATATAACCCCCATTTTCAAGAAGGGGAAAATGGATGACCCAGGGAATTACAGACCAGTCAGTCTCAGTGCCTGTAAAATCTTGGAGCAGATTCTCTTGGAAGGCATGCTAAGGCACAGGAAAAACAACAGGGTGCTTGGTGACAGCCAGCATGGCTTCACTAAGGGGAAATCCTGCCTGACCAATTTGGTGGCCTTCTATGATGGGGCTACAGAACTGATGGACAGGGGTAGAGCAGTTGATGTCATCTACCTGGACTTGTGCAAAGCGTTCGACACTGTCCCACACGACATCCTTGTCTCTAAATTGGAGAGACATCAATTTGATCGATGGACCACTCGGTGGATAAAGAACTGGCTGGATGGCCGCACACAAAGAGTTGTGGTCAATGGCTCAGTGTCTGGCTGGAGACCAGTAACGAGTGGTGTCCCTGAGGGATCGGTGTTGGGACCGGTCTTGTTCAACATCTTTGTTGCTGACATGGACAGTGGGATTGAGTGCGCCCTCAGCAAGTTTGCCGATGACACCAAGCTGTGTGGTTCGGTTGATACCCTGGAGGGAAGGAATGCCATCCAGAGGGACCTCGACACGCTTGTGAGGTGGGCAGATGCCAACCTCATGGAGTTTAACCATGCCAAGTGCAAGGTCCTACACCTGGGACAGAGCAATCCCAGGCACAGCTACAGGTTGGGCAGAGAAGAGATTCAGAGCAGCCCTGCGGAGAAGGACTTGAGGGTGCTGGTTGATGAGAAAATGAACATGAGCCAGCTTCAGTGCGCACTTGCAGCCCAGAAAGCCAACCGTATCCTGGGCTGCATCCAAAGGAGCGTGACCAGCAGGTCGAAGGGAAGTGATCCTGCCCCTCTACTCTGCTCTTGTGAGACCTCACCTGGAGTATTGTGTGCAGTTCTGGTGTCCTCAACATAAAAAGGACATGGAACTTTTGGAACAAGTCCAGAGGAGGGCCACGAGAATGATCTCGGGACTGGAGCACCTCCCGTATGAAGACAGGCTGAGGAAGTTGGGGCTGCTCAGCCTGGAGAAGAGAAGGCTGCGTGGAGACCTCATAGCAGCCTTCCAGTATCTGAAAGGGGCCTATAGGGATGCTGGGGAGGGACTCTTCATTAAGGACTGTAGTGACAGGACAAGGGGTAACGGGTTAAAACTTAAACAGGGGAAGTTTAGATTGGATATGAGGAGGAAATTCTTTACTGTTAGGGTGGTGAGGCACTGGAATGGGTTTCCCAGGGAGGTTGTGAATGCTCCATCCCTGGTGGTGTTCAAGACCAGGTTGGACGAGGCCTTGGGTGATATGGTTTAGAGTGAGGTGTCCCTGCTCGTGGCAGGGGGGTTGGAACTGGATGATCTTAAGGTCCTTTCAAACCCTAACCATTGTATGATTCTATGTTTCTATGATTCTATAAATCAGCTATCGCGTTCCCCATATGAGCAGAGAATTCACAAATGACAGGCAGAGGAATATGACATTAGTGCTTCATAAGCATCCCCTTGCATGTTTTAACTCCAATCTAACTTGTTGATTTCTCTGGATAAGGAAAAAGCTTTTAACCCTGTTCCAGTTGTGATAAGATGAAAACAGTACCAAGCTAATACTAGGGAACCCGTGCCCCAGAATGTGACCTGAAAGAAACTGTAAGATAACAGCATGTTATCTTATTATCAGTCTCATCTACAAGCAGCTGATGGATGAAGTGATTGGCTACAGCTTTGTGCCATCAAAAGATAAAAAGCTAACACACTTACAATATAGGTGTTTCCATTTGAGTCCAAATTACCTTTTTTAATCCTATTTTTTTAGTAGATTTTGTCTTCCATTGAAATATAATTTAGAAATGTTTTAAAATTAACAAAATGAAGCGTGGAAGATCTTAATATTCAGACAAGCAAACACATCATACTCAATTTTAAGCAGGGACTGTAGTGGAGACTCCAGTGGTAAAGTGAAACTGTTTTTCACATTATGCAAGGATTCAGACTCCTTTTGTGCATTGAACAGCACATTACCAGCTCTCAAATAGAATGGGAAAATTCAAGCAAATCCAGTTGTTACTTTTTGAAATAAAATGAGGTGAAATTCTGTTTTTTCAGAGCTTTGCCTTCCTGTGTGGGGTGTTTCTTCTGACCATAACAGAAAAATACACACTTTAAACTTTAAAATATATGTATTTCAAGGGAAATACATATATTAGACATAGACCGCACTTGAATAAATTACTTGGCAGTAAATTTAAGTTACTTGTAAAAATCATACAGAAGTGTTGTGATTCACTAGGTCACATACAAGCCTAGGACAAAAATTCAGTTAAGTCCTAAAGATAACTGTCGTATATGCATCCACCACTCACCCATCCTGTGGCCTCCACTGCTTATTTTCATACAAGAATTCCACATGCAGTTGCTCACTAGCATAAAATTGTTAATTGAATGTTAGCTGTCCTAAGAAATATCATGGTTGTATGAGATCAGTAGAGCAAAGGACACTGGGCTGATTCTGAGCATTGAAAGAGCTTTGTCAAAAGACCTGAAGCAACCTTAAAACCTTAAAACTTTCTGGGCTCAAGAAACTAGGATCTTCCTTCCTACATAGATACACAGTCAAAGCTGAACTTAAATTACTATTCAGACTAACTCTTTGTCTACCAAAAATTAAGGAAGAAATGTTTGGGTTCATATGCTTTCTGGTGATAGAATGCAACTATAAATTTAGCTTAAATGACTACTGTAGTCATCTTGCTTTGATGTGTCAGTGAATCTTCCTTGAAATTCAAAAAAAACCCAAGTATACTGGTTAAAGACAGGTCCTGTAAACAGAAATAGTGGAAAGTATCATGTAACAGCATTCTTGTTTCATTGTTATTTTAGAGTTGTGTGAAGAATTTCTGATTATTAATAAAATAAAATAAAAATAGAAATTAATAAGAAATATCAGTAACAACTGTAAAATACTACAAATATCATCTAAGTTAAGAGATTTAGGGAAGGTAATACTTCAAAGAAATTTAACCATGGTAAGGTAAGAGTTAGGTTGTTAACACACCTGAATAGCTTAACTCTGCCTAAAGAGGTGTCAGGAGATGAAAGGTTGAAAAAAGGCCTCATTTAGCCTAAAACATCACTTCATCTAATCTGGGATGATATGACTAGTGTTGCTTCATTAGAGGCAAACATTTCTTTCTTACTATCTGGGTGCCTTTGCACTGTTCTAATTTTAGCATGTCAGATTTAGTAAGAAGTAAGCTTAAATTGGAAACACCCTGACACGATGGGACTAATCTTACATGAAAAGCAACTGTGCATACTGATTCCAGAAAGAATCACCTCACTGACTTACACAAGTGATTTTTGGGGAATCTCTTTAGGTAGCAAATATTAGTAATCAAGATGGAAATGCAGAAGTCCTAGTGCCAGACCTGTTTGTTCACTTCACTGTTGTGGAGAAGCATTTGATACAATAAAAAATGCTGGTTTAACATTCAGTCACACAGTGGCTTGTTCCAGCTGCGGGTAGTCAGTAAAATAGCAAGATAGTGCTGTTTGTATCACAATTGTTAGGTAAGTTTCATCACAGTAGCAACTTTACACTTGCATTTCTGCTTCCCTACCTAATATTTTTAATTATTAAACAAAACTAGACTTCATGCAACAGAAAGCAAACAAAGCAACCAACGCAAAAGTGGTAGAATAAGTTTTATCATGGATGTGGGAGGTACCAGCGTATTTCTGTTAGAACAGCTGGCTCCATTTTATAGAATAGTCACTGTTCTAATTGCAGAATTTTAAATTCTTGTCTAGATGCTTTCTTAAATGCATTCAAAGTTTTATCAGAAGAAAGAGAGTAAACACATTTTTTGGTAGATCTGAAAACTGAGGTAAAGACAATGTGGCAGCATTCAGAGAAAGAAAAGTAATGTTTGAAGAAAAGTGCTTTGGCTGCACCTCCCCTAAAAATATGGTGAGAAACATCAGCAGTGTTAAGGGCTGGTAACAGCCTCACTGCCCTGTGTTTTCTGTGCTGCCCTGATGCAGTTGGCTGGTTCAAGAAGTAGCCCTAAGATGCACCAAATGGTTTAGGAGATTAGTTGCTGCTCCTTTGGCTTGCCTCAGAGCTCTTTCTGCATGGATGCTTCAAAGTTTACTTGTTGTAATTCCTGGATTTTTAGACTTATCTGTAACATAAAATGCACACAGATATTCCCCCTAGACAGCCTCATCCCAGCTGCCAATCATTAAGTACTGCACTTATTGTTTTCTTCTTTATTTTCCTCACCAGAACGTTACATCATTTTTTTTCCAAGTTCCTAGCATAATCTAATTTGCAGACTGAAATGTGTTAATAGATTATAATAATTTAAAAAATTCTAAAAAAAAACCCAGCCCCAAAACCAAACCCAAAGCTTTTGAAAGCGCTGAAAAGCTAACTCTTCTGTCAGTGATTCAGACTAAATCTGAAGAACCATCCTAGGAAGCAGAACTGACCAAGATAAGTAATCCTTCAGAAAACACGTTCCTCAGCTCTGGGAAGGTTGTGAGAAACTTACAGACTTGCAAGATACCCAGGAAAGATAAAAATGTTCTTGTTAGAAATGCTTTATATGGCCATATAACATGCAGCATGAAGGAGTATAACTATGTTAAGTATTTAGGAATATGTAATCCTGTTCGGTTTTGCTCACTTTCATTTGACTTATTCACTAAGGCACTTCAAGTTCATGACCAAATACAAGATCAGAGCCAAATAAATGCTTACTGTTTTCATTCAGATTCCCATTTGTTATTCTGAAATGATTATGCCTTGTAAAGTTTGCTCTCGGTGCCGGAAATCCAGAGTCCTCTGGAGAGTTTGCAACTGAAAAACTGTTCATAAGAAAAGGAAAATATAAAATAGTGTTTACATTTCTTGGTCTTTATGATAGAAACATCTTTCTGATTTTACAGTAATACAAACAGTAATGATCAAGTTTAGTCAATAGAGAACCATAAGATCAGTTCTTCAAATTACTGTTGTGAGCTTAAGATGTGAGAATTGCATTTTCCAGATTATCTGTCAAACAGAAGCAGTGCAAGCTGTGTACATTAGAAGGCACCAGTAGCTACAAAACTCAAATGCTTGAAACAAAATGTAATCTCTTGAAGAGCAAAGCTACTATAATTCACTGAAACTGGTTTTACTGAAAAACCAATACATTTTCAAATGTAAACTCATTACAGGGGATGGCTGTCAGGGGGCTGATAAAAATTCAGATGTGAAAGAATCTTTATAGTATTTTAAAATACTTAGTAGTTCCTAAGTCTCACTTTATGACTGCCACTTCTTGTAGCAACTGATTTAAGGGAGTTGATGCCAGTCTGTGCTGATTTGTTAGTTTTGTAAAAACAGGGTACAGTACACTGACAACAGTGATTGATTGCCTCCTGTAAATCATCTCTAGTTCAGCAGTGATAGTGTTAAAAGAGGTTTAACCGATAGCATGAAAAAAGAAAATACCATTATTAATAATATTAATACAGAGTGCTCTGGTGTCTACCTAAAACAGTACTAAATAAAGTGCTAGCCTACTTTTTGCTGGGAAAATCTCTTTTGAAGCTTAAGATCAAAAGCACTTTTTAAGCTTAAACAACACCATATGGTTTCAATTCTTGCTTTCCAACAAGCACTTTAAAAAGCACAACTAAATTGCAACTGACAAACTTGAAAAATCTTTTGTGTTGTTCCACTTGAATGATCTAATGAGAAAATGGCTCAGTTCTGTTGTAGCTAATGAGGTATAACATCTTCACTGAACCTGAATATATAACAGATACTTCTCTAAAGATCTAGTCTTAACATGCTTCTATTGCTTTACGCATTCTGCCATGTTTTTATTTAAGTGATGTCCAATGAATAAAAGCACAGGTCAGTTTTGAAACAGAACATTTACACATGAAATTACTCAATCCAAAAGTGCTTTGAACTCTGTATACAAGCATTGTGGTTTCAAGTGGGAAAATTTGTTTCACCAGCTTACTAAGGCCCTGAGTCTGCAAACAGAGATATTAATGTAGCCAGGCAGAGATCTGTGAAAACACATTTTTGGCAGATAAAGTTCTGAGACAAAGCCCAAGTGTATGCGAACTTAAACCTATCTATTTCAGCAGTGACCTACTATCAATGTGAAGACAGATTTGGCAAAAGAGTGAAGGTACCACTAGTATCAGTATCAGTATCATTTATTCTGGTAGTACCTAGAAGCTATTATCCTGATAAAAGGCTTTATTTATACAATAAAATATTTATGCCAAGAGATTTATACAAGGATGCAATAAGGATGTAACCCATAGGTGTGGGAGGCTTTAACATAACAGCAAAGGGGTTAGATTCAGTGCATCAGGTAGTATTTGCAGCTTAGCAAGAGTTTAGACAGATTGATGAGGACAGAATAAAACTGATCATGCTGGTGCTTCTTATAATCCTTAGTACTTATGTTTCAAATATGTAAAAGAACATGGTTTTATGCTCCATAAATGTGAAACTGAGACATGAAGAGAGAACTACCTTGCACAGCTAGTGGGAGCACAGAGTGGGAGCAGAGTCTAGATCTCCTCGTTATGCTACTGATCCTTATGGGGAAACTGATGGTTAAAATGCATACTGCAGTCTTTGAGCTGGAAGGAAATAATTCTGTTCATCAAACAAATATCCAGACAAGTTTCATGCTGTGATACAGAAAACACAGGTCTGCTGTTGGACAACAAGCTCTTTCAGTGAGTGGGGTCTTTGTGATAAACAGAATTACAATGAACCTTCTGTTTGTAGGAGAGACGTGCTAAGGCTGGCTTCCTCTCTGACTCCTTGCTGTTACTGTTTTTCTTGCATTTAGGAATCCTACTAAAAATCTCTGTTCAAGTGAATTTATACTGTAAAATGAGATGATGCCTACCCAGTGAATGCAGACAGACTGACAGATGGGTGAGTACAAGAAAATAATGAGGAATAAAATTGATCAGTGACTGTGACAGACAATGGTCACAGCAGATGCTCGACTGTTGTGAAGCTTTCTTTTGGTTTCATAGTCAAACTTCAGGGCAAGGTCTGGAGGAAAGCAACAAGGTAGCTTGTTCAGGGACCCCCTTCTCAATACAATGTGCAGCAAAGTAGAAATATGGCAGTGAAAAAGGGTGTTGATAACCAGTAACAGTGGTCAGCTTAAGGTATGCAATTGCATCTCAGGGCATTAAGACAGGACCTCAGTCTCAATAAGAATGAACAATGGAGACAAATGCTTTGATGTGGAGGGGCAGGGGGAGCTAACACAAAGCAGCAGGCTTACAGGCAAAGGCATAAATGAAGAGTGTTATCTGTGTTAAAGTATTTCTGATGGACATAATGAGACAAGATGGTTTCTTTCAAAACTCAACAATGTGATATTGCGTTATCAAATTATAGTTGAAAATAATCATGAACATAACTATCATCAAGAAGAGAAATTGGAATCAGGTGTGTCAAGAATCCCAAATAGTAGGCATCTTCCTGGCAGAATGATAGAAAGAACATATTACATGTCCTTACACTTAACCAAATCCTGTGGTGAAGAAAGGAAGCAGATAGTATGTCTTTTATTTTCCCTGACTTTACAAAACCTGAGGTTATCTAGAGAGAAAAAAAAAAAATCTGTGTTAATACTAGGATAACCATATGTGGCACTCCTTGTAGGTGACATGAATATTGTCCTTGGAATTTGAATGACATTTGCTTTACTTGTTCCAGGGGCTCATAGTCTGATCTTATCCTCTCTTCTGCATTTACTGGCAGACAAAACACAAGCAATGAACAGCAGTTCTTGAGAGAACCCTGTGCAAAGAAAACATAAATTAACCCAGTGATGGGGTCCTTTTCCAAGAAATCCATCTGATAGTATATCTCTCAGCTACATGAGTAGCTGAACCAAATCTTACTCTAATGCTGCTCTTAGAAACAGAATCCAAATTGCAGAAATAGCTATATTTCTTCGAGCAACATTTTTCGACTTTAAGTGCCCATGAATAACTGACGCTTTGTACTGACAAAGTGGCATGCTGCGGGCAAATTTATACGTTCCTCATCAAGTTAGCCTAGACCATGGCAGCTTCTTATGGCCCTCAGCCCATATGAGTATTTGAGTGCACTGTGTGCCTTACAGAGATGTGACTAGGAAACAGCCTTGCAGATGGCTGTGTTGAGATGCAGGCTGTGCTGCAGACAGAAAAGGCTAGCATTATTTTCCTCTTTTAATATACAATGTTATTGAAAATGATAGGCGGTAGGGTATCTGAAGTGCTCCCGTGAGACCCCACTTGGAGTACTGTGTACAGTTCTGGTGTCCTCAACATAAAAAGGACATGGAACTGTTGGAACAAGTCCAGAGGAGGGCCACGAGGATGATCAGGGGACTGGAGCACCTCCTGTATGAAGACAGGCTGAGGAAGCTGGGGCTGTTCAGCCTGGAGAAGAGAAGGCTGCGTGGAGACCTCATAGCAGCCTTCCAGTATCTGAAGGGGGCCTACAAGGATGCTGGGGAGGGACTCTTCATTAGGGACTGTAGTGACAGGACAAGGGGGAATGGGTTCAAACTTAAACAGGGGAAGTTCAGGTTAGATGTAAGGAAGAAGTTTTTTACTGTGAAGGTGATGAGGCACTGGAATGGGTTGCCCAAGGAAGTTGTGAATGCTCCATCCCTGGTGGTGTTTAAGGCCAGGTTGGATGGAGTCTTGGGTGAGGTGGTTTAGTGTGAGGTGTCCCTGCCCACAGCAGGGGGGTTGGAACTTGATGATCTTAAGGTTGTTTCCTACCCTAACTATTCTATGATTCTACTAACCAATGCTTACTAATACATTGTGAGGTGTACTTCTTAATGCCACATGGTGAAGGAGGCAGCTGAGCCCAACACCTTGATACTCTTTATGAGAAAGTATAAGCCTGCAGTTCTAAAGAAGGGAACCTTGGAATAGCAATTTTCCAAGAGGAATTTGTTTTTTTTTTCCTTTGTGAAGAGCATGACTGTTCTTGCCATTACTGAGTAATACTTAGTTTGCTTGACATTCTTGTGCCATTTCATCATCTGTTTCAGAAGTCAGTTCATTCCCCACTCAGTATAACCCTTTGAAAGTTGACTTAAAGATGTCATAAGTGCAAAAATATGCTTTTGAGTCAATCATTAAAAGCAGAGCTCATGACTGCACCATAGGTACTACTGCTCCAACATGCCCTGGTCTTCTCTCTTTGCTGTGTTTCTAGCTGTTGTTTTAGATGAGAAACTGCTGGTTTATGGTAAAAGGAAGTTAAGAGGCATTTAGAACTTGGACTTTCCACCTAACCTTTAAGAGTCTATTTATGGAAACATTCTGTATGAACTATATTTTCAACTGAAATTTAGAAAGACGCATTTTTTTTTCTCTAAACTAACAATAAAAAATGAATTTTGTTTCCATTTATGTTTATGCTACTGTTAATCTCAGCAGTGTTAAAATACTTAAATATATGAAGCTGAGATGCTACAAACTTTATGCAAACACTTGGCCCCACTGAGTTCCACTTGTCCTTTTATGGTTACCAGGAAAGCCTTTTCTACTCTATAAAAATGTTAACTGTTTTCTGTCCCATAACTATGTATTCATAAAATCAGAAAGGCTAGAGTCTCCTTTGCCCTGTTGTAACAGTTTGTTCCCAGGGATAAAAAAGGCAAACCAACAGCACTACACTGAAAAACAGAAGTATGCCTGGAAAAAAAGAAACCTGAAATTTCCCTTTGGGACTTTTTCAAGGAGTGATGTGGAAAACAACAAAGAAGATGATTGCTATTGAGCCATTTTAAAAATAAAATCAAGTATTTCAGAAATCCTTTAACATTTTTTGATCTTTCTTAACAGATCTGACCTGCTTTAGAATATTGAAAGGACAGCCCATCACTGCAACATACTCAGGCAAACACATACATTTTAAATTTATCTTGCATCACTATAAAGAACAACATCCTGTAGAATGAGTGGCTTCTGATCACAGTACTGCAGTGAGACAGGCACAGTGAGTCAATGTGATCATCATGTATACTGTGAAGCTATCAGCCTTCAAACAAAAATAGCTCATTCCTTGGAATGACCCAGTTATAATGCAAATCTTAATAGTTTTATTGATTATGAAGAGTAAATATTCACTGTATAAAATTAAAAGCACATCTAGTTTAACAATGCCAGCAAATATAGTAGCTGGATTTCAAAGCTTTGAGATTGCCTTAAGAATGGGAATAGCTTGAAGTTTTTCTAGTTCAGATGATTCCTGTCCTAAAGTTAAAAAATACACCGTATGTTAGGAGATCTCAAAAATCTCACAACTGATATGTATATTTTTGGGAAAATATCAGTAATTTTACTCAGGCAAATCCATAGAAGAAAATGGGAATTTTGTCCAAAGACAGTCCACCATATTTAGTCCACTGAATATAGAGCATTAAAAAAAAAAAAAAAATACTGTTTTTGAGTTCTGTTGGAAGTCCAGAAAAGATTTCTCTAATTATACCAAAGCTTGTAAACTGTTTGGTTCTCATATTTGGTTTTGCTCCAGATGATGAGTCAGCAGAACATTCTGTCTATGAAGTAAACCTTATGAAATTGTTTTAATTCAGTTATGGTCCAATACCAACTGCAGAAACTGGAGACTTTGAAGTCCTTCAGTTTGCTTATGTAGTTTCATAATATAGCAAGAGTAAATACATGGAATTGTCTTTAATGGATTTGGATTCCTTTCCAGAAAAAAAATGTCTTAAGCAAAAGCAGCTCATGAATATTCTAAATTACTTGTACATTGTTTTGGACCACTTCAATGACAGTGGAAGCTGTGTTTGATTTCATCCATCTATCTATCTATCTATCTATCCATCTATCTATCTATCTATCTATCTATCTATCTATCTATCTATCTATTCACTATCTCTATTTATAGCAAAGTATATTCCTAAATAAAATTTGGACATCTTGAGAAACAAGATTTAGGGCAATTTTTATTGTCAGTATTGCTTATATCGAGGAGGAAATTTCCTCAGTGTACGACTTGCTTCAGGCCATCAGCTGACAAATCCCTCTTCCACATGCTGGTCACCTTTCTCTGCCCTTGTAAGAGATAAGTGAGGCATGGTGGTGCAGTATGAAAGAATTTCAGTGTTCAGTATCTGAAGGACCTTGGAGCCAGGGCAAGAATTAAACCTAGGGTATCATTCTTATAGAAGTCAAGTCCAGAAAAGACTGTCCCCTACAAATTCAAGTGAAGACTGGATGTGAGGAAAGTACTGTAAATCCTTAAGTGCATGTACAGAAAAGCTGCTCATATCTACCCTGCCAAACCAGAAATCTCAAGTTTTTTAGCCTGCTATACTGTAGGTGGGCCACATTAGTAACTAACTCCATTGTAGCCCAGGATCAGGGGCAGTTTTCTACAGATTCTGTATCCCTAAGCCAATAAAGCAAACAGGAGAATGATGCCACAATTTGCCCTGGGTGAAAGAACTTAAGCAGTTCCCATTCCCCCAAAATATAAAATTATGAAGAGTATATGTGGATGACTGCAGTTTCACTAATCACTAGAAGAGGTCATAGGAATTACACCTGTATATGATGAAATAATCTGATGAAAAATGAAACAAGTGCACTACTGGGAGGTGGAAGTATATCCAGGTATGTCTGCTCTGTGGAAGCTAGATCAAGTTTTCTGCATCCAGACCATCAAAATCAAACAAATAAATAGCCCTCCTCCTCTGGTCACAGAAGTCTGAGGACATGAAAAGAAAACAGCTGTAAACTGCTGTTCAATTTGGTAAAATACTTATGGCAACCCTCGTGTTTATTCTCACAACAGTTGAATGACAATAAAGCAAAATAAACCAACATGCACTGTTCAGTAACTTGCCTGTCAAAGCTTCATTTCTGTTACATCTGACCTGTAATTAGGTAGCATGAGCTAATAGATAAAGAAAGAGAAGGGGAAAAAAAGAGTTTGCATTTTAGCTTTGCTTCTTCCTTACTACCCAGCTAATGAAACAATGTGCTTAGCAACCTCAATTTCTCTAAAACCACTAAATGTTGGTGATTGCTGAGCAGGTAGTAGATCTGACTTGATTACATTCAAACATCACAAACAAAACAATATCCAAACTGTATGTTAATATGTAATAACTATTTGTGTTAGATACGTAAATATGTACTATGCATATTTTATGCTTTACACAAGCTTCTCTCACAGGGCTACAAAAACTAAGAGCTAGTTCAACTTCCAGAGAAAGTGTCAAGAGGATCTGGGGAAGGTTTAAGAACCTTTTTGTTCCTAGAATATCTCACAGTTGAGGAACAATGCAACAGTCAATAAAAAGATAGTATCTACTTAGTGGGAAATTAAAAGCAGCTATAATAAATGGGAAGATAAATAAATTGTCAGTAAGAAATTTAAACTTAAAAAAAACAAACGAAAACCAATGATGAAAAGGATAAATGCACATAAGGAGAAAGTGAGAAACAGTTTAAAAGTATATCAAAACCAAAAGGAATCTGGACAATGGTACTGGATCGTTACTAACTGAAAATGGTGGCATCAATAAACATGAAACAAAGCATAGTTGTTTAATAAATACTTCTGCGCTGCATACGGGAAAAAAAAGGGAAATGTTATTCAGATTCATACAGTAATAATGACGTAATTTCCATGCCACTATTGACTTGAAGTCTGTTAGGTAGCAGCTACTGAGCTAGAATCTGACATATTTAAATCAGTGCCTCTGAGTAAGCTGGATTTGAAAAAGCTGGCTGAGAAACATGAAGTACTTACGTTGATTTGCTCTAAGTTTGGGAACACTGGCCAAGTTTCAGGTGCCTGCAAGAAAACTGAATCTTGTTGCTATTTAAAAAGGGAGGGTGGAGAAAGCTGGAATGCATTAGTGTAAAAAAAAAATCCCTCCCATCAACAGGAGAGGCATTCGCACAGTTACTGAACTATTATTTCAAATCCTTTTTGAGCCCCCATTCTGTGTAAAGAATGTTCACCTTTCATGGGGAAGCAGATAAGCAAAATGAGCATAGGAATTTGTCACACTGGTGGAAGCCCAGACAGCCCATACCCATGAGTGCTTCTGCCAATGTCTCTTTTCTCCAGAAAATCTGAAAACAAATTCATTTTTTCCTCACACTTCAGATGCGGAGCATATGCAGAGAATGAAAACAAGAAGAGCTGGGTGAAGTCTTGAGAAGTATGCACACAACAATTACATTTGGCAGGATTCTCTGATGCTTTGTCACTGTTACTTTTGTAAAACTTGACCAGTGTATAGAAGGAATTCTTCATGGTCACTTTGCAAGACTTGACTGATGCGATAAAACTGAATTTGATAATGGATGTTGCCTTGTATGTGCAGAAATAAGTAAACGCATCCTGACAGGTCCTGCAAGTTTTAATCCAGAAAGAGTGCATAGATGAGAAATGCAAACTGAAAGATAATTTGAAAATGCTCTTTAGGACATAAGCTGATCTAACGTTGATGGCAAAAGGAAGAAGAAAGAAGAAGAAAGAAGAAAGATCCTCTGTCTCCCTCAGAGGATGATGAAAAGGGTATCAGTTTTGAAATGAGCACAAGAGCAGAGGTTTAGTGGCAGGATGAATGACTGCTAAGACTGCACAGAATACTGCAGAAGAACATTGGATGAATGTACAAAACCCTTCTTTATGCTTATGAAAGGTACTGTGGATTGAACTGCCTGAATTTATTGATTCTAAGAAGAGATTGTGACTGCCATCAGAATATTATACAGTGTAAGACAGCTGAATTTTCACAGCTCAGGCTCAAAGAATTGAAATAGCATATATTCCTCACTATCTGAATATATTCCCAATGTTTTGTAGTGTAATATTGCACATATTCAAATAAGGAATGAAAACAGAATATCAATGATCAATCTGATCAGAGATACAGGTACACACTCTCCCAGATCAAACCAGCAGCCAGAAAGAGGTAGGTGCTTCCCTTACTGAAAATGAAATCCTTTGTAAAAAAGTAAAAAAAAATCCAATATATGCTTAAAATCCAAAGAACAGAGGACAGCAGCCTGGTGTAGTTAGTTTGATGAAGAAGTGTACTAACAAGTTGTTCACAAAGAACTTAGGAAAGAAAAGCCAACCAGATGATGCTTAACATACTATATTTGTGTAAAACAAACAAAACCCCCACAACATACTGGGTTTCTTCAAGCTAGTAGTGTTAAAAAAGGGAGATCCAAAGCTACCGACACTGAAGACACCTTATTGCAACTCAGTGGAGTAAAGGAGTGATAAAAGTATGTTTTAAAAGCTGATGGTTCTTGCTCCCTTTTGCAAGTGCTTGCTGTCCATATCCATGAGAGGCCACCTTTCAGTACAGCTGCTCTTTGTTACCTGATTTGGGAGATTTTTATCCAGGCAGTATTGGTTCAATGTGAGTGTAGTTCAGACACGATACATGTAAAAAGGAAACATAATTAATCAAACAGAATGTTCTTCTGCTAACACATTAGCAAAACTACCATTACATTTATCCAATTCAGATATTTGATCTTTAGAAAGATGATTGGTCAGTTTAAAGTGCTTAAAAAAGTTTGGTGCAATTAATTGATGAGATTACTTTAACAATACTGGAAAATGGAAACGGTTGCAATCAGCTTTGTGCTGGTTGATTGCTGTTACAAAAAACCACAAACAGGGTATTGAAGGAGATCAAAGGCCATTTTCAATCAAATGAAATTAGTTCAATATTATTAGAAAATATTGAAAAGACGATGTCATGAACCCACCTTGGCATTAGGAATGAAGATTTAACCACTGAAAGACATGAGATTATTGTTCTGTAAATTTACACTGCACGCATTTCTAAACTGGTCCGTTAGCACCAGAAGGATTGAGAATATAAATAACATGGAAAACTGGTAGAAATTAGATACAGAGCATGAGCTGGATTTTGGGTAAGAAATGGGGTACAAAAGAAGCACCCTGATGAAAATCTCACAAGAAATTCACAGTTCTTTATCCAGCAGTAAACAACTGATTTGATTCTGACACCAAAGGCAAGGGATTTCAACAGTCAGCTCTGCTTCTATGTTGCATTACTGAAATTCTAGTTCCATAGCTTTCAGGCACTTTGATGTTTATATGAGCAGACCTGAACGTCTGTTTTCTTATGGAACAGATTAACAGAGAGTCTGTGTTCTCTCAGTTAGTTTACAATATAGATTTGTAGGTAATATACACTAATTTCACAGGCGTTAGAAATGTTTCAGCTCCAAATATTACAGTTGAAGCCTTGGGAGCCCTAGCAGTGTGCTAGGGTACTATCACAAAAAGTGCAATTTCTAATTTGAAATGGTTAAAGAGAGACAGAAATTGACAATAGAGTATTAAGGAGTATATGAAAAGATTGCACACATATTAAAAAGTCTGATCAGCTGGGTCTTGATATCTTAAGGAACCATTTTAAAAATCTTACAGAAATAATTTGCACACAATAATTTACTACTGCAGTGGCATCTAGGGCTTTGAGAGAGGGATGATGGAATAATACAAATAGTTGCTAGTGATCTTGTGTTCAGGCTATTCAATTTCTGCTTATGTCCCAAATCATAAGATTAGTTGAACCCTAAGTAGAAAAAAGCAGAGGTTTATTAATATGACTTTAAACCATCCATATATAGGTATATTCAGACTACTTTGTTTTCAGCTCCTTCAGCTGTCATCTGCATGACTCAAAACTGAGAAATTGCTTAACAAAATACAGATTATCTTAATTTAGGCTAATAGCACTTTTCAATACTCAAGCCACAAAGGAAGCCCTTAAAGTAATTGAAAACTGTACCAACATTGCCTTAAAAGCCTTTGCACTCTCACACAGTTTTACAGAGTCTGAACATAAATAAGAATCAGGGCCTCAGAGTTCCATTAGTGTCTGAATCCAGTTGAAAACGTTTAGGATACATACATAAGCATACCAGGTAATCTGAAAAGATCTGGAACTGGTGCAGGTGTAATTGCTTGCTATTTAAGAGAATTATTCCATGGATTGTAAACCTTGATTTAGCCTACCTGTTATAACTGATGTTAATCTCTGCAGAACATTTAGAGTTCAGTACAACTGGAGGGTTCAGTGCCTCCATCTCAGGAGTGAGTATTACTCAAAAAATGTTAGACTGTGGTTCGCATCAGTTTGGCTTCCGCTGTAAGGATGAATGAATGCAGCACGCACAGGCAGAAATTCCAATTATGTTTAAGTATAGGTTCCTCTATACTTGACCAAGTGGGGAAACACTGTATTTCTAATGAATAAAAACAAATTAGTTTTGAAATAATAAAGATTTACCTTTAAGTGATGAATCTTTTTGTTGACATACAGTTACTATTTGTGTATAGCTCTACTAGACAGTCAGTTTTATTTAAACAAGCTAAAGATGTGATTATATTGTTCTCAGTGAATGTGTGATAAGAGTAAGGCAGATTTTCAAACACGTCTTTTAAGGCTGACAAGACAGTTACTATTTGCACTATGTGGTGTAATCTTGGTTGAGCTTGAAGTTCCTTGAAAAATAACCAAGACCACTCAATACTGTTAGTTGTAATATAAAAAGGTGGCTGATGCAGGAGGTAAAACAAGTTACAAGTGTCAGAGTTTGCGTTATTCAGTCCATCTGTAACTAGATCAATGATCATTAGATCAGTTAGATCATTAAACATAGATAAATATGCACATTTTAAAAAGAAACACTCATTTTACTGGAACGTAATTGTTCTGCCTCACTCCCACTCTTCAGTTCTGCTAAAGATGCAATTAAAATGTTTAATATTTGAAAACCTGACTTTGTTGGCAGCTAGTAAAAACTCGTTATAATATTTCACTATAAAGAAACAATTCTACCATGTGCCAGGGTAACAGCCTGCATTATCACTACCATGGTAAACATAGTACCATCTAGTGTTGAGATGTAGTTCTCATCTAAAGTGAGGTCAAGACTGGATTCTATTCCTTCTGTTTGTGAGCGATTGCTGTTGCTAAATGAGGCTTATCTTAAATGCTCCATTTTTTCAAAGTTGGAACTTCTGAAGAGTGTTGGTCATCCAGATTTAAGTTAGCGATCTGTAATAAAACTCAGTTTTAGAATTGAAAGAAACCAACCAGTCAATTAGGCTGTAAACTAATTCCACCTGTGTATTCGGTGCTCAGTTTCTATGTGTACATTTCCTACTAATATCTGTGGCAACTTCTTGGATGCAGGATGTGATATTTCCATATTATGAAACAGAGCTACACTTCAAAAAATTTCAGCTCCTCCTCCAAAACTAAGAATTGTAAAGCGTAAGTAAGCCAGCTCCCAAATGTACCTTTGCAGCTGAAGGTATCTCAACACAGACCATTTTTTTACTTTTTTAATTGCATCAGATCTTAGATACCTTTATTCCATTTAAATCCATCTGCAGTACAGAATCATTTTATTGGCTAGTCTGCTTTATACACCCTTATTCTGCAACAGGACTTAAATGGAAACAGGATTTCAGCCTAACACTAAGGCTGCATATTTGGTCTAGAAGGGACTCAGTGCAAAGTCAGAGCATAATTTCTCCTAATTTTATGGTTCTTCATGCTTTTCATATACAAACTACTCTTTCCCTGTATCACAGATTAAGAAATTCAGTAATTTTCTTGTTTGAAATGTTCTTGAACAGAAACAAATAAATGTCAATTTCAACCATATATTTTGCTGCCCATTTTGTGAAACGAACAACTTTCTTACAAAGGATCTGACTTCAGATACCTGACAGCATACTTCCTGTAAAGAGAAGGGTGTCAGTGATTCTATCCACAACCTGTTTATACGATTACAGCTCCTCCTTTCTGATATTACTATAGCATTAGCCAATCATTGTACAATAGAGAAAAGAAAAGATCACAGAGTCCCAATCAAATAATTCAAATTGCATTGTAAGGGGACAAAATATCCAGTATTTTATCTAGGTTGTATCTAAGACACATAATATTTAAATATTCAGTACCATTAGATTGGCTTTGGTGGTGACTAAAGAACATTTTTTGCCTATATTATTTTATTTTCCAAAGTACTTCTTATACCACTTCTGAATCCCTTCTCTCTGATACCACAAAACATGTATCATGCTAAAGCATTAATTTTCCTGGCATTTTTTCTAAATATGAATTCCCTAATGTATTCAGAATGAAACGCTACGCTTATCAGCAGAAACATGTTTTCCTCTAGCTATTTTTTTCCAATACCAAATTAAACTGACAGGGGAGCTTTTAACCTTTCATGCTGAGTAGATTAACATGATTTCAGCTGATGGATCAGCACAGGTTAGGATGACCTTGGATCTTCCTCTACTGAATCTTGCGTGTTTTTGCTAGCTTGGTTTCCTACAGGAGCAAGGCTAATGTGACTGTGCTGTCTGTATATCCATCTGCTAACCTTACCAGGAATTTTGAAATCTATTTGTGAGTTTCAGCCCAATTTTTCAGACAAGTACTATTTGACTTCTACAAATTCCATGAAATGAGCAGCTGAATTAGAGTTCTAAACTGATGATCCTAGTGAAGGAAAGGCTGCCATACTGGCTCAGCTACAATGCCTAACACTAGAGTATCCAGGAGAGTCTTATTCTGAATGATCTGAGAAACTTTGAGAACTCACAGCTGATTAAGCACTGAATAACCCCAAGACAAAGCTCTTTCATAAGGCAAACCATTTTTTCCTTCAGTCCAGCTGCTCATCAAGTGAGTGCTTAATTAGTTTATAATTTTAGGTAGTCTTTCAAGGCAAGAGACAATGTTGAAAGAGTTATTCTTGATGTTTGGTGGTTTGAAATTAGACCTACTAGCTCTCTTCTTGCAATCTGTTTTTCATATTGGGATTTAGTAGAGCTGTGTAATTTTAGTCCTGACTGATCATGAGAAATGGATTAGAGAGTTCAATATGCACGTGGCAAAGTCCATTTGGCTTTAGACATGAAATATGCCTAAGCCTCTAAATTTTAGGGCAGGGCATACTTGAAGGGACAGTATTAAAAAACGGGGTTGCTATATGCATTAGAGAATTCATGTTTATTGAGTTTACTAGGAGAACTAATATTTTAATATATTTCAATATTATACTTTCGTGACATCAAGAAAAAGTTGGGTTCAAAATTGGCAGAATAAATAAAACTAAGCTATTATGATTCTATGATATTCTAATGAAAAATTCTCAGGTCCAATCTCTACTGATCTGAGAGAGAAGGAAAGCAAAGGAGCTGGCTGCAATGTCCTGAATCAGTCTAGTTCTGTCATTATCTTTGCCACCAGTGTCTTTGTTCTTTAAAAAATTGTTCAGTATTCTTGAAGCTTCACTGAGACTGTCCTTTTTATATCTTAGTGTGTATTGAAAAGATTAGTTGAAGCTTAATTGACAGCTCACACAGACAACCCGGCATCAACCTAGGATGTTCCTGGGTACCCCAATGGAGTCCTGTTCCTTTGTCGGCTTGTTGTTATAATAAAAGAGATGTTCTCTTCTGTTTGCCCGACTTTTTAGTGTTAAATAATAATTTAAAAAGCTTCGTTAAAAGTCTTTCAATGACTCGAATTTGTCAGGTTTAACTCTGTGGATTCTCACTGAGCCCTTTAAATAATGTTGAAATGTACTGATTCAAAGGGAATAAAGGAGAGAGGGGAACATTTGTTCCAGAGCCTGGCTGGGCAATAGGAATGAATGAGAGTCAGTAAAAGGGCTGAGTATTGCCAAAGCTCTAGCCAACACAGCTGTACAGCTGCAGGTACATGCAGTAATAGAGGCTAACATTTGTCTATGTGCATCACCAAGGCTAGGAACTGTCTCTGCTCCTACCACAGGCAATTCAGTGAAGCTGAGACAGCAAAATTAAAGCCAGGGCTCAGATTTTGATAGCTGGCACAGGCCACCAATAAATTTAATGCTTAAGGGAAGTAAAAAAAGAAAGGAATTATGCTTCAGAGATGTCTCAGCAAAAAAAGTCACAAGAGCTCATTTACTTGGTTAGGCTGTGACTACAAAGAGAAGTGAAGGCACTGTGAGAACACAGATGCCATAGCATGATCATAAGGCTTCTTACACTGCAAATGTCTTTAGAATTAATAAGGTGGAGGACCAGATTTTAAGCCTTTTGAACTGTGGTCATGGTTAGAATGCTTTCCCAGGAATTTCAATTGCTGATATGTACCCTATGCCATGGATTGTGCATGATGTCATGACTGAGCATGTTAGGAATGTGTTTATCACACATTATTATTATTTAGAAATATTATATCACCCTTTGAATTTTTCAGCTTGTTCCAGCTCAGGTTGAAGAACTGCAGTTTGCTGAAGTCTCTGATGCCCTCAAAAGTCATCATGTGGTTATGGCTCACATCAAATTATTTGTGGTTGGGCTACAAGACAGTGTAATTTTGAAAATAGTTGTATGGCTGAAAGTGTTGCAGAAGAAACTTCAGTTAAAGTTATCAGTTGCATTTAATCTTTAAATATACTTAATGGGATCCAGTGCCTGGGACTCCCCATGCGCATTATTGGGTCTGTTGGGAGAGGCTTAGTATGCTCCAGATAAGTTACTCTATTTGCTAAAACGAAATGACCATTATAAAGGTCAGACGGGTGATATAGCAATACCACTGTAATATCGTGATTCAAATTGGAGATGATATGAACAGGCACTGAAACTGTGAGCTGATAATTATAGCACAGTATTCATGACCCTAGTTTAGTCCCCCATTCTGTTTCCCTGTGTGCATCCTGGCCCAGTCTTGTCTTGTAAGCACACATCACAATGCAAGAACATTTATGCTAGTAAATGTTCCATAAAAAGAAAAAAAGAATTAGAGCTTAATTTCTCATCAGGTCATGAATATTATTAAAGGAAGTAAACTCATTAAAGCTGGTGATAATTTTTTGAAGGGTTTTTAAGTCTAGAGATGCCCTATAGCGTGCTCAGGCTGTTCCCATTGAAATTCTAAACTTAGACCAAAAGTCAAACAGAAATGACAGTCTTACCAGACCTGCAGCCTTTAAAATCAAAAAACTCCAACGGGTGGAGTGCAAATACAATACTACCGCACTAGTAAAATATAAAAAGACTATAAAATGTAAGTACAAACTAACATAAAATACTGAAAAGACTTTTCACTTATTTGAAAACTCTCTATTCTCTGACTGGTCCCTGAAATTAAGGTGACCTGGCTGAGGTGGGAAGTCAGATAGACAATTGGTTCACAGGAGAAGGGAACAGATGCTGCTGACTCTAAGGAACTGGCAACTCTTCCATTATGAAAAAGCAGTATAGAAAGGGTAAAGCTGAGCAGAGACAGGCAACAGATCCTCAGGAAAAGGCAAGGTGAGAGGAGAATGCTAGTATCTCACTGCAAACACAGATCAGTGGAAAGATGGCCCTTTGATAAATTAACTAAAGAATTGTTATTCTCGTCTTTCCTAACACTGACTCTAAATAAACTTTAGAAAACAAAAAGTTTATTTTAAACTGTAATATTATATATTACATGTTTTATTATTATTATATATTATAATTATCACATATTTTAAACTGTAATATATATTACAGTTACCATCAAGTATAAGAAATAAGACCATCTCACAAACTAAAGTTAAAAATGGGACAGTTCAAAAACTATTTCAGTTTCATGTATCGGATATTTAGCAGGCGTACTCCATCAGAAAAGGGGACTACTGAAGGTGCCACATGACAGTTATGCATATGAATGCAATGCCAGAATTATGCATATAAATGCCCACCTGAAGAAGTGTTTTTCTGTGCAGCTACTATAACAATATATATGTCCGAAACTAAAGTCTGTAGCCTGCTACAGTTTTTTTCCCCCTAGGCTTCATTCTTGAGATGTCAAATCTGACAAAAAAAAGAAAATCTTTTCAGGAACAACTGACATAAAGGCATGAAGTCATGGGCTTCATAAAATTCAAAGGAAAGGGTGATAGTTTATGTACAGCCCTATTCTCTGGTGCATTCTTCTTAAACTGTTTCTTGATTAAATTATGTATTTTACACAATAGGAATGCGATTAGGATTCCGTTCAATAACTGTAATTCAGATTGCTGAGTAATTGATAGAGAAACACAAGTTCTAGTGATGTTGAGTAAATGTAAGCAACATCAGAGTCAAGCCCAAATGGAAATGTTAATTTTTAACTTTTGTGTTTGATTTAGGTCATGGGCCAACCTGAATAACAAAGTAACAATTACATAATACATCTATTTTACTGAAAATTTGGCAGCAATACCTCACCTGTACCTGACTAAATATTGGCCTCAGGCTCTGAAAATACTGTTGTTCTCTTTTTCATTCAAGAAAGCAACCTAAGGACTGACCTTTACTGTCATTTCCATGTTCAAAACTTCATCATCACGCTGCAAATCATGAGACAGAATAAATCTTTCTGGGCTTCTTTTTTTCCTCTTCCACAATTATTTTGCACATAGAAAACAGACACTGATCTTTGAACTATATAAAATAAAAGGCATTTGAAGTTTGTAAAGTTTCTAATTTTTAATTACATATGACAGGTTTGATTAGGAAATTAATAGCAATCAAGTCAGGAAATAATCTTTTTGTAACACAGATCTGTTAGAAACTTCGTTTAATTGCCTCATATTCAAAGCACTGCAAAATGCTTTTGCTTGTATGGGTTGTGTAACATCCAGAACTTTGGCTAGAGTCAACAGAAGTACACCTATGCACTGAAATTCCCAAGGGCCAAGAATCACAGTAGAGCAGCCTAACACTGGACTATGGGACCAGGCAAATCTGACTCATCAGTGGATTCAGCTGTCTCCTTCCTTTCCCCAGAGCTGAACATCCCACTTTCCTGTACTCTCTTGTGAATAACAGAGTAACTCAGAGTCTGAAATGAGTGCTTCTATCTCTGCAGCAAGTTATGAAGTTAGATGAGGGAAAAAGCAGCATTATATGTTTGTAAAAATAAATAGAAAATCAAAACAAACTTGTTCACAATACCAGCTAAGAATAAAATATATTTTATAAGAATACAATCTATATATATGAGAATAAAATATCTTCTTTCAAAACTACACATCTCACAATTTCAGTCAAACAACTAAAGATCATTTGCTCCTGTCAATATTTAAAACCAGTGAAATCTGAAATACAGGTAATTTCAGGAACAGTGGAACATGTGAAGCCAAGTGTTCTTTGGACTTGCGTCTTCCAAACTCTTTCTTCCATACTGCAGTAAACCCAGCTTCTCCAGGCTTCCTAGGACACCAAGGCCAAGCAGAAGTTTGATGGCAAACTTGCCAGAAGTCCATGCTGGCTGCCCTGTTGGCTGATGCTAAATGAACCCTAGAAAAGCTGAGAAAAATCTCTTTTCTTTCTGGGGAGAAGGAGATGAAGGAAAGGTGTCCTAATTTAGTTTAAGCCACATTTCTACAAAAATAATAAATACTTAATTATCTCTAAGGCTTCTATACTTTTTCAGATTTGGTTGAAATTTGGTCGTTCCTAAACCACTGCAATGACAGAGTCACACAACATGACCGATGCTTCGCCCTTCTGCGCCTTGTCCTGGGCAAGGATTGACCCAATGTGTTTGTGTCTTCCCTCACTCATCTAGAAAAGATCAGATGTATCTGATTAATTCTCACTTGAGGACATCTCTCATACATGCTTCAAATGTCTGTGGGAATTACTCCCAGCAGCTGAGGCTCTCTGCGGCACTTCCTAATACACAGAAACGCCACTGGGACAGATTTCAGCAGTTTCAGAGCTCCTTCCAAGGCTGCACATGCCACCTCATGGCCATCTGCAGTATTTATGACATGTCCTTTCTGTAACAGCAATTGTACAAGCCGTGCAGCACATGTTTTACAAGATCTTTCCAAAATTTGAATTACCATGCTTGAGTGACTTCTCAGGATCACTGCCGGTTTTGCCTTCTGCCTCAGTTTATTGTTTCAGAAACTCTGTTCTGGGACATTCACTTAGACTGTTACAGAGGAGAAAAGTGGTTTTTTCCTGTCAAACTGCTGCAAAGATTAAAGGCAGGGCCAAGTATCTTTATTTGGCTGAGACCATCCCTTAAAAATGTAAACAAATTTAAGCAGCATGAAAATATAGCTGTGAATTATGGTAAGGGATGGCAGGCAGGGAATGTGAAGAATAATGAATAATAATTATTCCAACAGAATGAGAAGTGAACAAGAAAATCAGATCGTTAGCTCTGTGGGACAGGGCCCATATTCTGTATGCTTATATAGTGTTTAACACTACAAAAAGGAACCTCAGTGGGGCCTCTGCAAACTAGCATGCTATAAACACTAATAAAGCAAAACAGAGCAATAGATAATGCATTTGAAGATACAATCTTGTGCCAAAAAATCTGATGTCTTCTCAGAGCAAAAGGAGAAAGTCAGGTGTGCAAAATGCTGAAAATAAGAAAAGGAGAGCAATAGGGACTAGAGAAGAGTTGCCCTGAAATAATTTTCCTACTTTCTATTCTTTGCCTTCATAAGTCAGAATGAAAACTTCCTTACCTGAAATATCTCCATTCTTGGAGATACTGAAAAGCTGTCTGGACAGGGTCCTGTGGAGCCTGCTCTAAGTAACCCTGCTTGATCAGGCTGGTTGGGCACAGTGACCTCCAGAGGCACCTTCCAACCTCAACCACTCTGTGGATCTGTGAATATACTTTCTAGTTCTATTCATAAGTTCTTACTCAGCATGAAATAAAATGTACCATCTGCCTGGCTCTTTTATTGTCTGGAGATGAAAGGGGTCATTGGGATAGGACTGAAAGTTTCCAGGGTTATGACTGGTCTGACAACTAGGATCCCTGCTAGAGGGACCTGATGTTTAGGGATAGGTATCTGGAGATAAATGGACTAGAATGAAATATAAGATTAATGACAAAGGAGGCAGTGATCTAGAGTGAGGACAAGGCTTGCAAGACAGGACCTGGGGTGCTGTATTGCTAGATATGAGGCTGAAAGAACTGAAACCCGTGCTAAGCTTTGTGCTAGCACTGTTAGGAAGAATGATACTGTGTTCAAACAATACAAATGAAAATTACAAAACAAATGTCTGAAGAAACCACTGAGCCAATCTATGCCAAAGGCAGTAAATACAGATGCTGCAGCTGTTACTATGGCAACTTCCAAATTAGTCTTGCAACAGCCCCCACAAACTAGTGGGGGGCACTGATGAGTACTGGTGAATGAGAAGAGACAATCTGCAACAGAAAGAAAAAGGGCAAGGAAAGGACAAGAACATGATGAAAAAAATAGAAAGCTCTAGTCATGCCTTTGCCATAGATGGCATAAAGATGCGGAGAATGGAGTAGAGGTAACACAAAGAAATATGAAGAGAACAGAGGAAAAAAACAGAAGAAAGATGAATAGAAAAATGATGAAGGGGTGCAGGGGGAAGAGAGTAGCTTGCTCTCTTCTGTGCTATCCTTTACCAAACAACAGCATTTTTCTGTCCACAGTGCAGCACACTGTATGCACATACAGAGCACGGAAACAAGTGGTGTTCCTGAGAGGTTAGTATTGGGACTGGTGCTGTTTAACACCTGCATCAGCAACATGGACAGTGGGAGCACACCCTCAGCAAGTTTGCCAAAGACACCAAGCTGTGTGGTGCTGTTGACACACTGGAGGAAGAAATGACATCCAGAGGGACCTGGACAGTCTGGAGAGGTGGGACAGTGCCACCCTCACGAAGTTCAACAAGGCCAAGTGCAAGGTCCTGCATCTTGGTCAGGACAATCCCAAGCACAAATACAGGCTGGGTGGAGAAGGGATTGGGAGCACCCTAAGAGGAAAAACTCAGGGGTGCTGGTTGAGAAGAGGCTCAACATGACCCATCAGTATGAACTTGCAGCCCAGAAAGACAACCATAACCTGGACTGCATCACAAGAAGTGTGACCAGCAGGTCGAGGGAGGTGATTCTCCCCCTCTACTCTGCTCTCATGAGACCCCACCTGCAGTACTGCGTCCAGCTTTCAGGGCCCCAACACAAGAAGGATGTGGAGCTGTTGAAGCAGGACCAGAGGAGGACCACAAAGATGATCTGAGGGCTGGAGCACCTCTCCTAGGAAGACAAGCTGAGAGAGTTGGGGTTGTTCAGCCTGCAGAACAGAAGGCTCCAGGGAGACCTTAGAGCAGCCTTCCAGTACCTAACAGAGCCTGCAAGAGAGCTGGAGAGGGACTTTTTGCAAGAGCATGTAGGGATAGGACAAGGGGGGATGGCTTTATACTGAAAGAGGGAAGATTTAGATTAGCTATTAGGAAGAAATTCTTTACTATGAGGGTGGCGAGGCACTGGCACAGGCTGCCCGGAGAAGCTGTGGCTGCTCCTTCCCTGGAGCAGGTGTTAAAAGGCCGGGTTGGAATGGGGCTTTGAGCAACCTGGGCTGGTGGAAAGTGTCCATGCCCATGGCAGGGGTTTGTAACTGGGGGTTGTAACAGGGGGTTGTAAATCTTTAAGGTCCCTTCCAACACAAGTCATCCTATGATTTCACGATTCACATAGATCCCCAAGATTATCTCTGCCCACCTCTAAATGCTTCTTGTGGCTATGCTGTTTCTGGGTCAGAAACCCACCCCCCCAGATCCTCAAGCAAACAAACAAAAAATACCAACCCTAAAAACCATGCTGAGTCATGTTATGCCATTAACTGATGTATTGCATCTCAGAATGGGCATGCTCTGAATCCCAGGGAATTTGTTTCGATCTCAGCAGCTAAAATATCCTGAGATCAGAAGATACCTGCTCTCACTTAGGGAGATAAGGCTTTGCTTTCCACATTATAAAGGTCTGCAGCTCCCTTCAAGCTCTCAGCTCTGATTTCTACACACAGAAATCATACATGCATTTATATGTCTAAAGTAAACTTTCACATATTAGGAACAGATGAGGTAAGAACCAGAGTCTAACAGCAAACATCTCAACCAACTCTCGTGACTGGTATCTTCTACCAAGCTACAGACCTCTGAAGTACAAGAACCAGTCATAGAAACACCAGGCACAGGGACTTTGGGGAGCATCAAGCTACCTCTATCTGGGTAACGCTTCTTCATAATCCTAAATCATTTAATACTTTACAAAATGTATCTGTTCTTATAATCACAAAGTTAACTTTGCTCACAGGCCAGTGCTAACAATATCTCTTGAAATTCTGGCACTTAGTCTGCTACACTGAAAACTTCTTTTTACAGAAATACTTGAAACTTCTTAGATTTCAGCCTCTTGATTGTGTGCTCTAAAGATGAAATTTATTTTCATTCCCCTGAAACTGCATGCTCTGAAGTTCCTAGGTCCAGAGTTGTGATTGAACTATGTAACAAGAACTAAACCTGTGTACAGAAATGCAGAGCACTAAGTTAATAATATTTTCGTCTTGTTTTGCACTTTTTGCCAGTGCTATCTGCATTATTTTCATCTGCTTCCTATTCAGAAGAATCAGAAGCAATACCTTTAGCCTGTTTCATTTTAACTTTGCTCTCTCAAGTGAAGAGAAATACATTTACCTTATTTATTCAAATGCTCCATTCAAAGTTAAGCATAAAATATCAATATATTATAAATTGTGATTCATTGTATTCCTTTTCTCTATTTACACTGTCATATTTAAAACCTGTTTAGATCCTTCTTTGCTATGCAAATGAGCAGATCCATGCTAGTAAGCACAGTCATGGATAAAGTTAGCATAGCTTGCAAGAAACTACAACAGTTTCTACAGCCAGAAACCTGGGGGCAGAAGCTCACCTATTCCCCTATACACAAATAACTTAAAAACAAGTGGCCATTTTCTCTGTCTGATTAGGAAGATGGTAAACTCCCATACTGACATCTGCTACTGTAAGATTCTTTAAAAATGATGGGGTAATCAGACACCTTAGAAAGAACCATCCTAGAAATGCTGTAGGTTTCCCAGTTTTTCAATCAATGGGAAGTTTTCTGAAAAAAGAAGATACAACAGTCAAAATAGTTGCTACAACTAATAAAGATATTTCTCATTTTCAAAAAGATTCTGTACTAAGATTACTCATCGGAAAACCTTTGGTTTGGCTTTCATCCCTAGAAAAGTAATTTATTAATTTCTCCTTGCCAAAACAAAAAGATCCTTTGCTTGAGAAAGTGGCATTAAAAGTAAGCAGAATGCTATTTATAAGCAACCTCAAATAGAAACTGTATACAAGACTACCTGCAGCTCTAACAAACATCCCTGAACACAAAAAGAAGGTATACCTGAGGTGGATCAGCTTGGAGTACTCAAGCAGAAAACAGTCCTTGAAATGCTGCCAGTCTAAATTTTAATCTCCCCTCAAACGAGCATCAAGGTTATTCAGACAAAGATTATGTAAGCAACCTTTAACGCTTCTTTACAAGTAAAGCTGTGTAGGAATTTAGAATAGCCATTATCACTATTTAAAAAAGCAATTGGATAGCTTTCTTATTCTCTTATCTTTTTAAAAATTGAGACCTTCATAAATAAGTAATGACAAAATAAAGGCAACAGAAAGTCTGTGTGGTCCCAGAGCAAGAGAAGGACAGGGGAGAGTGTTTCTTTTCTTATCAGCTGTCTGTAAATGTGGTCTGCAGAGCACAGATGCTTCAAGATAATCCAGATCCTTGTAATAAATCTATTTCCAATTGCATCAACAAGAATTGTACTACTAAATTCAAACTTTTCTTCATTTCTACTTGGAAATCTTTTAAAATTCTGCCTGGAAAAACGTAACAGGACAGATGAACATAATTCTTATTTTTTATTATTTTAACAACAAATTTAGGCAAATGAATAATAACAGAAAGATTTTTATTTTTTTTTTTTTTATCTGTAAGTGGTAGATGATGCTAGACTACAACTGTAGGTACACTGGTCCTAATGTGTGGATATACAGGTCCTGTACTGTTGCCTAATACCAAGCTTCATCCACTTCATCTTCCATGTTGTTCTGCAATCATTAACTTCAGGGAATCACCTGAAGTTAATGACCCTCAAGTAAAAAAGGGTCATAGTTTGCTATTTAGCATTCATAATGATTGCAGCATTAATGTGTGCTGGACTTCGGTGCAGTGTGAGGCAATGGCATGAAATCAGTGGCAAGTAGCAGAAACAAATTTTACAGTATGTTTTAATTCTTCCATGCCTCTATCAGTTGTTCCATCCTTGAGATGATCCACAGTCTTTCCCTGTCTTTATTAACAGGCTTTAAAACAGTACTACTTCGGTGTACTATTTCCACCCAAATGATTCAATTCTTCTAGGGCCTGATGCACTACAGACTCTTTGGAACAGTGTTCATTGATCTTTGATGCAAAGACAAACCAGGAACTTGTCAGATGAATGATATGCTTTGCTGTCCTGTAGAATGCCAAAGAGAGAACAGACAGCTTTCTACTCATCAGAAGAAAGTAATCCAATTCCTTCATCATAAAAATTATGTTGAATGAGCTTCAGACCCATGCTGGCATTCAGAACTAGGTCTATGGCATTACTGATATCCTCCACATGCCCTATTATGAAGGATTCTCAGTGTAGAGACTTTGTGCTGGTCATTGAATTTACAGTGAATTTGATTCACAAAGTCCTAAAACAGAATCAAGAATGACAAGAAGCCACTGGAATTACATACAGGGAAAAAAAAAATAGAACCCAGAAACAAGCAAACAAAAAAACCCAAAACACAGCACATTGCTGGATCTCTACAGTTAGAGGTCCAGAAAGGCCCAGAAAACTTTTCCAAGCATTGGTCCAATATAACCACACATCCCAGCTGTCTTTGTTCAATCCTCTTCCTATGTACTGAGAGCACCAGTAATGGGAATGACAGCATCTGTCTATTGGAAGCTGGCCTGGATCCGATAATTCAGTCCATGTAAGAGCTGTGACTTTATTGATATTTTCAATACTCCTAGTTTGGACCTTATAAAAACCAAATCTGAGACAGGCTTCAAGTCCTGTCACTAATCTTCTAACCACATGCCACCATCTTACTTAATGTCTGAAAATACCAGAATACTGTTCTTGTACAATTCACTGAACATGCTTATTCAGTTTTTTGTCCTTGAATGTTATTCTTTTTTTTCCAGTGCATTTATTTTTTGTGAGAATGCCTTTTCAAGACATGTCTTTTCTGTACCTTCATTATCATGAACTGAATTTTCGGTTTCCAGATTCTTACTCCTTAGAGATCTATTACTTGATGTTTTACCCAGTGTTTGCAGCTTGGCCAATTCACATTCCAGCTGATAAAAAGACCCTATTAGGATTCAGAAACAAGAGGTTATGTTAGAGTATAGTAGGAAAATTATTTTATTTGTTTCCTCAAAAGATAAGCTCTCTAAATGAGTACTAAAAAGCATACCTGAAAACATCAAACCAGAAAATTAATTTAATAAATTCAAACTCTTGATTATCAATAGAAAAAGCTGAATTACTTGTTCAAAGGAACAGCTCTGCTCTGAGAAACTGCACATACTCTGTTGTGTACTGGCTCATATCCCAATCCTATTCATGTCAATAGACCATTGTTTCACCCAGGCAGGACCAATCCCTCAATGTGACTTCATTATGATGCAAGTCTCAACAATGAAAAGTGAGCTAGAGGGTACAATTTAAATAGAAGTTCAGCTTTTTCAGACACCTCAGGGCAGGGATCATTTTTATCCCCAGGTTTGATCACTGTGTGGCATAGTAATTACTCTCTGCTTTAGGGAAGCAAAACTCTTTTTCATTCTTTTTTTAGGAGGTAAATCTTCAGGATCAATCAAGCTGCTATAGAGTTGAGATTAGGCAATGGAAGAGAACAAACTACTCATACCTTTTGAATAACAAGCAAGGATTTGGCTCCCAAGTATAAAGCTTTCATAAAATTCTTAAAGAAAGCAGCAAAACTCACTCTGCCTACACACCCCAATATGAATATTATTTAGAATATTCATATATGCATATAGGCAATTCTGACAGAGAGATGAGGTGATAGAAGCACATGTCTGCTTCCTAGATTCTACCTGACCTCCATATGGCAAGCAAAGGAGGAAGATAAAACCATAAAGGCATGTGCCTGCACTGGTAGAGTCTTTGGTCTGTGCAGCCTTGATCAAAAGATTCTGTTGGGTGTTGATCAAAGTACTTTTAAGGGGTCCTATTTACATAATCAGCAATTTTTTTTAGCTTGTATTTGTATAGACATATGTACAAAGAGCTCACTCAAAGTACATTAATGACTTACTAGGTACGTTTACAAACTACATAAAATTTGTGATATGGGTCTTTTCATTTTAGAATAACTGCAGCTCGCTGATGCAAAGACAGTCTGACTCTGATCCATTATAGAATCATAGAATCAAGTAGGTTGGAAAAGACTTTTAAGATCATCAGGTCCTACCATTACCCCAGGACTGCGAAGTCCAACACTAAACCATGGCACTAAGGGCCTCATCTACAGAGTTTTTGGACACTTCCAGGGAAGGTGATTCCACCATGTCCCTTGGCAGCCTGTTCCAATGCCTGAGCACCATTTTGGTGAAGATATGTTTCCTAATATCGAATTTAAACCTCCCCTGCCATAGCTTGAGGCCATTACCTCTTGTCCTACCTGCATGTTACTTGGGAAAAAATGTTGATCTTTAAACAAGTTACAAAAATACTTGCAGTTATCTAAAGAGAGCAGTTCATTAATGACAGAAGGACCAGATGAAAAATACTTACATTAGGGATCACATGTTACTTATACTGCTCTTAAAGCAAGGGGAACAAACTAATCAGTTGGAAATCATGGAAAAAAAACACATAAAACCCGACAAATAAACCCACAAAACCCACAGTAACTTGAGAGCTGGGTGAGAACAGTGTTTCTCACCTCCAAAATGCAGACCTTTTGGAAGTGTTTACAGTATCAACTACAATAGGCAAGAACCATAAGAATCTGGGAAGTCAGCAGGAAGGTCCTCTGCAAACATCTGTACCGGATGACTAAAAGCAATATCTCAAAACTTAGTTTACCACATTAAATGAGTATCTTACCTATTACACTGTTCTGAAATGGATCTCTATGGCCTTCTTCTTGGTGCAGTCCCATTTAAGAGCACATTGGTCAAAGCATTAATGCTTGCGACATGATATTCAAATAAATATGAACCTGGCAGAACTGAAATTGGAAATGGATCCCCTGCAACACATTAAGTGTCCTAGAAACTTGGCTGTTGATTATTCTGAAGACTGATTAGCACAAGCAATGACATCATACATACAGGATATTATTTTCCATTTCCACTCAAAATGCAAGGTTAGCATTTTGAAGATTTTATTTTATTTTTTAACAGATAAAGATAAACTAAGAAAAATGATCAGATTCTCTAGTGTCTGCTTACATGTGCAGTCATTATTTTCATTTCCATTTATAACCAAACAGGCTTGATTTAGGTGTAAACTAAAAGCCCTTTATATTAAAGTCAGTGAAACAGAGAAATGAATATATGCACAGGTCCCACCGATACCTATTTTCTGTCTTATTTGACATGGCTACATCAATGGAAAGGAGTGTGGAGTAAATAAAGATGAGCCCTAGGGAGTGTTTACACAGACTTCAGGATGATTAGGGCTGTGTGTATTGTATATAACTCTGAACCATGCAAGCTGGTAGGAAATTCGTATTGAATGGGAGAAAGATTAAACCATATACATAAATCCTTGATAGTAAAGCAGAATGCTCATGCTAGAAATGCCAGACTGATATCACCTTCCTGTATTTTCTACTAAGTTCCCAGAGAGGTTGACAACTTGCAAATTTTGCCAAGTATGTAAGCCCTGTGAATGTTTTAAACAATACAATTTTAATCTAATACAGGACTGCAGATGCTGACAAGCCTGTAGGCTAGGAGGCAGATCATTCAAATGTAAAACCAAATTTGACTGGAGTCTAAACAATGTTGGCCTCTGTTGTAAACTATAGGTTGCTTTTGACATGGAAAGAGAGAATGCATTTTGCCAAATGGGAATTAGCTTGGAAAGCCTCTGTAAATGATACTGCAATGAAAATAAACTTAGTCCCCCAGCCTTAGTTTCACAGCTGTGCATGAGAAACTTAACAGATCATGCCTCATGTCACAAGTACTCACGAGCTTTTGGCCCATGTCTTGGCCTTGGGATATCATGAAAACTATATCATTGATGTCAGTCATTTCTCTCCATGACACGGCAGTTCTTTGCAATGAGATGCCACCAGGGTTTGTAGTATCCTCGCTAATAAATAGTAATTCCTGGAAACACCCTACTGCCTTTACAAGTGTACTTTGTCAGCTGTAATTTCTCAGTCTTCCCTTTCCTCCCCTATCATCACGCTCAGCATCAGTTTCTCTTTCCTCTCTTTTGTGGGTTTAAGGTTCACTGATTTGGTCTCATTCACCCTATCAGCATCTCCTTCCATTCTAACTACTTTTATCTTGGCATCAGTATCTCCCCCTGCCTTTTTTTCATGTACTCTCCCATTGGTCGAAGCTGCAGCCAATTCTGTCTCCTTTTTGGGGTGCAAAGAGTCAGGTAATTCTGAAAGCTAGCGGTCTTTTGGTAGAGATGGACATTTACACATTTCTTCTCCTGTTACATGTCAAACTGCTAATCACAGAGCTCTTGCTGGTTCTGGACTAGCCTCCAACTCAGAGGTTAGTATAGGGAGAAACTAAGTTTTCATAGGAGCTAATTTGATATATGACAGCATGAGAAAAATCTAGAATAAAGCTTCTCCTGAACAGGAGTTAATTTCTCCAAGTTATAAAAAAATAAAAATCCAGACACTGAAATAAAAAGTGCATGATGAGCCTTTTACATAATGCTGAAGTGCAGACAAAAATCTGCAGTTACAAGAAAACTGAAAAAAAAAAAGAAAGTCCTCATTAAGAATCTCAGAGGTCTTGAAAAATGAGTGATTCAGTTAACTCTGCATATGCAGAAAACTTTGACAGCCAATCAGTTCCAAATAATGTTTCAGCCTTAATTCTTACAAATTAAAGTTTAAAATTTTCCTTTCTGCGGTTCAGTAATTCTAAAAGTCAGCCCTACTTACTAGACACATTTATATACTATACTATAAAAATACCATGCATTATATGAATTAAAAAAAATCATAAGAAGGAAACCAGACTCACCTCTGTATTCTTGATGAGGTTATTATTCAACAAAAATAGATTCAGCTTTGTTAGATCTTCCAAATTTTCCACCCTGGAAATTTCATTGCAATAAAAAGAAAGCTTTTGTGAATTTACACATTTTTGTGGACCATTCATTTTCTGTTTTCTCAGAAGAGGTATTGCTTTGCAGCATTGAAGAACAAAATGTCACTTTATTTTTATTTTTTTTTTCCAGGATGCTGTTAACTTGCACTGAAAATAGTTCGGGAGTTACAAATAATCTGAGACCACATCCTCTGTGTAGAATTCTGCTGATTTAGAAAGCTCTTCAATTAAGACAACAAAGTAAAAGCAGTGGCAGCTACAACAGTTCATGATTAATGATTATGTGTTTTTAAATAAAGCAGTATTTTCATTAAAATGTCTTCTTTCTAACCAGCTTCCTGGAAAAGGTTTCAATGTAATTATTCAAGCTTTTGAAAATACTGTTTCAAATGAGAGAGAAAAAAATCCAACAATAGATTCTAAGTTATGAAAACCTATAACAAGTAACAGATGCAATTTGATCCATATCTAAGTTGGGTTTTTTTGTATACTTAAGTAAAGACGTGCCAGATCGTGACTTCTTCCTTGAACAGACAAAAGGAGTGTTTGTGAAAGAGCGACTGTCATTGTAAGGGACTGGAAACTGTATAAGGTTGGCTGGAAAAAAATCCTCATTTATAACTTCTACTACACAGCATTCAGCATCTCATAGCTCTTTGAGGAACAGGCAGTACCCTAGGTCTGAAATCTTTTGAATACTTTGCCCAAGGAGAATGAAAGTAGTTATAATTGGAAATATTTCATGCCTACAATTCTGGGATAATGCAAGTGAAAACATTTCCAGAGCTGTTGTTTTTAGTCCATCTTGATCAATGTTCTCATAAGACAATCCACTGTATGAGTACCAGAAATGAAATGCAGCTATTGTTCTCTTGAACAGACAGGAGGTGTTATGTTCCACGAAACTGACTTGTCCTGTGGATTCCCTTGACTGTATTGACTAAGGACGGTATTCAGAATATACACTGCAATTTCAGAGACCTTAAAGTACCCTGCAGCAGCTGCTCCAGTAGGGTGCAGTTTTCTGTCTCTCCTCCTAGATATGTGTTTTTTCTTAAATGCCCTGAGGCAAGTAAACTGCCACTAGACAGCTCTATCTATGCTGTCCTTGATTTCCACTGACTGTAATGAAAGCCAAGAAATGAAATGGGTATGTAGATAACTATCTGTAGAGACCTAAGTGAAGGAAATGGGAGTGGGATCCCGTTTTAAAGTTCTAACCAGTTCACAGACAAAATTTCCACCATTTTAGGTAAACACTTGATTCTTCTTCCAACTATCTACAAAATTGCAGGAGTGAGTCAAAACGACAAGATATATTTTGATTACATTTATGTAACAAGCTTATTTCTGTTTCTGTGTTTTTATATTTCTTAACTACTTCAGTATATTAAGAAATATAAGAAACTACTGTTTCCCACAGTTCTGAAATGTTCAGATCACCACAAACTCATTAAAATATGCACTTTGCCACCTTTGGAGCAATCAAGAATAGAGACCACCTTACAGAGAGTATCTTTAGAGAAGCAAAAATAATTGTCTAGCAAAGACATTGATATTTATAGAAGTACTGAGAGAGGGAAAAATTAAAAAAAACCCAAAATGTTAAAAACAAAACTAACTTAATAACTTACCAGCTCCATAATGATTTTCTCAAGGTTCTGGTTTTGGTTACTACTTGCATCATCTCTTGAGTTCTCTGCAGTAATTTCCTAGTATCTTCTTCGAAAAAGTACATTAATATCATCAGCTGTGTAGCCACCCACATTGTCCATAAATGTCTGAATTTCCAGGAAGTTTGGAAAGAAGATCTAAATTTCTAACAGACTGAGTTCCAGAATATATGTTTCTAATAGAATCACAACAGAATTGCCACAGAAGGAAATCAAAATTGCCTGGAATACTTTATTACTTTTTTAATTAACTTTTTTGAAAAGAAAGTAGTACAATGTAAGCTATTCTGCCCCATTCTTAAGGAAGGGTGAGGAATTGCACCCACTTCTTGTATTGGATACAAGGATATATGTATCCAATACAAGTATTTGTGCAAATACTTGTATTGGATACTAGGATATATGTATCCAATACAAGTATTTGTGCAAATACAGTAAACTATATTTACACAAAGCATAAAGATGCAGTAAAACCAAACCAGTCTGTGCTCACAATTCACCAGAAGCCTCAATAAAAGCTCCTCTGCATGTATGAAAAAACATAACAGAATATAAATGAGAGTATAAAAACCTCTGCTACAATTTTTTAAGTAATTACACAGCTGCTACAATTAATATTTAGAATTGTAAACCACTTACTAGTAATAAGAGCATGATTGTTGCAGCAGCTTTTTTTTTTGCTTGCCTTTTGAAAGCATTTACGTGATATATTAACCACAGTATGTGCAAACTACACCCTTAATGTACCACTTCCCTGCTACTTTTGACTTTCTGCCACAGTATTTAATGACACACAGCTCCTCTAGCGAGTAATTTAGGACAGGAAATGAAGAATGTATTTTTCCATTTACACAGCTGAGGAAATTACATTAGATGTGAATCAGGTTTGGGTGGATGCCTACTCCTTTGGGCTCCATAGGGAAGCTCCTGGAATTGTTCTGCATCTCCTAGAAGGGGCATGGCTTTGCCAGCATTCCTTCTGGAGCACAGCTTCTACAAAGAGCTTCCATATAATACAGTGCCACAGAGTAATAGCTACTTGCCCACTGCAGCCCCCAGCGCAGTCAGTGACCCCAGCCCAGGCTGCTGCACTCAGGTCTGGTGTGGCAGAGACCATGGCCATGGCGATTACCTCAGTGAGAGGAGTCTGCAGGGGTAGGCGTTATTGGCACAACCCAAAGGGCTCAACACCATAACCCAGGTGAAATGGGCCAGCAGAAACTGGTTCTTGTGCCCCTCAGCCGTGCTAGACCAACGGTCTGACAGCAACACACTGGAGACCTTCGCCATCCCCTTAAAGGTTAAGGGTTGGACCAGATGACCCTTGAGGTCTAATCCAACTTGGTATTCTGTGACTCTGTGATTCTTGCTGAGCACCTGGCCCAGTGCTGGTGAGTAATTTAAGCTGCAATCACTTTTCCGTTCCTCTTTTAGTGTGTGGGGTGGTGGAGCAGGGCTGATAAACTGGTTTTGGAAATGTCAAAAAAAACCCACAAAAGGGTTAGAGAGTTTTATTCTCACTTGTGTTATCTCTCCTGGTCAGGGAGGGTGTTATGTCTGTGTAGCAGTTTGTCTTCAGTGGGCAATGTAAACTGACTGTGCCAAACTGCAGCATAGACTGCACATAGACACACTGCAGCTAAGCTTAAATCAATTAGAAATGTGAGTGTGAGATAAAACAGGCCATTTTTAAACCAAGAGGACCATGTTCACTGAGCCATTTGCACTGGATTAATTTTATCAATTTAAGAACAATTATAATTAAATTACTATGTTAGCATTTTTTTTTTTAATGCAATGAGACCAGCTGAACTTTTTCCAGTGGTAGGATTCGTCGCCAGAAACTTGGATCCTCACTAAAACAAATGTCGTTGAACATGTCTGATTTGTGAGTAAGGAGGTTAAACTTACTGAAAATTGCAGAGATTTCTTTTAAAGCTTTGTATTAATGTATCTTAAAATGTGTAATTGGGATGGATAAAATTGCTCAAACAGTTTATGTGGTTCTACCAAGGGAATCTATTTGCCTGCAGCTTGTTATTTGCACTGCTTTCTCTTACCACCAGATGTCACCCCAAGTCCACATAAAGCCAGAAACTTCCGTTTATTTCACATTGAAAGATGCTCCTGCTTGGTCTTGTATTTCCCCTCTCCATAGGTGCTACATTTCACTTACCCACAGACCAAAACATACATATACTGCTTCTTTTAGCAGAAGTCTAACACAAGTTGTTTATGGGTCCAAATTTGTTCTCCTGAATTGATATATATCATAACAAGCACATAATGGAGCAGCCTGAAATTAAAAAGGGACTGTTAATATTCTGAAAACTCTGCGTATTTTCTAATGCAAAAAAACCCCAATCATCTACTCTGAGCCTTCGCCAGAGGAATTATTATGTATTGCTGCTTAGGGGGAGTGTGTTCTGTTCCATTTACACCAAATCCTGCAAGAAAGAGGGTCTTGTTTAGCAAATGACTCATTTTCTCTCCTTTCTCATTGACAAAAGAATCTTAGGGACATCATTCTCAGAAAATTAGTTTAAGCACTTAGGCCAACTGATACCATTCTGTGATCTCTGTAGTATTTTTTAAACATTAATTGAATGAATAAGCATTAAAACTGGACATTGCATCCAAATTCAGATATTCATTGGTACTATTGATAGCAAAATTCAACTGCTTTTGTTTCTGCTCTTCTAACAGAATGACTCATTATTGGCAGTGAAGAAGGCCAGATGATCTAATTTGGGTATAGGGATTTCTGTTTGACTGGAAAGCACTCCTCTCGTACCAGAAGGGAAAAATTGTAAAAATCTTCATTAATGTGCAACATTTTTTGGGTTTTCTAGGTGACTGAATCATCTCAGAGTGACCTGTTCTGGCAGCCTAAAATCTGTGTTTGCAATATTCCTATCTCTTCAACTGCAGCAAACATGCAGGGCAGCATTACAATATTAATCATTTCACAGTATCACAGTATGCTAGAAATTGGAAGGGACCTCAAAAGATCATCTAGTCCAATCCCCCTGCCGGAGCAGGAACACCTAGATAATGTTACACAGGAATGCGTCCAGGCGGGTTTTGAATGTCTCCAGGGAAGGAGACTCCACAACCTCCCTGGGCAGCCTGTTCCAGTGTTCCGTCACCCTCACTGAGAAGAAGTTTCTTCTCAAGTTTAAGTGGAACCTCTTGTGTTCCAGTCTGTACCCATTACCCCTTGTCCTATCATTGTTTGCCACGGAGTAGAGCCTGGCTCCATCCTTGTGACACTCCCCCTTTATATATTTATAGACACTTACGAGGTCACCCCTCAGTCTCCTCTTCTCTAAACTATAGAGACCCATCTCCCTCAGTCTTTCCTCATAAGGGAGATGCTCCACTCCCTTAATCATCTTCGTTGCCCTGCGCTGGACTCTCTCCAGCAGCTCCCTGTCCTTCTTGAACTGAGGGGCCCAGAACTGGACACAATATTCCAGATATGGTCTCACCAGGGCAGAGTAGAGGGGAAGGAGGACCTCTCTCGACCTACTAACCACCCCCCTTCTAATACACCCCTGGATGCCATTGGCCTTCTTGGCCACAAGGGCACAGTGTTGGCTCATGGTCATCCTGTCATCCACTAGGACCCCCAGGTCCCTCTCCCCTACACTGCTCTCTAACAGGTCGTTCCCCAACCTATACTGGAACCTAGGGTTGTTCCTGCCCAGATGCAGGACTCTACACTTTCCCTTGTTATATTTCATCAAGTTACCCCCTGCCCAACTCTCCAGCCTGTCCAGGTCTCGCTGGATGGCAGCACAGCCTTCTGGCATGTCAGCCACTCCTCCCAGCTTAGTATCATCAGCAAACTTGCTGATAGTACACTCAATTCCCTCATCTATATCGTTGATAAATATATTAAATAATACCGGTCCCAGTACTGACCCTTGAGGCACTCCACTAGATACAGGCCTCCAACTAGACTCCTCCTCATAGACTACAACTCTCTGGCTTCTCTCCTTCAGCCAGTTCACAGTCGACCTCACTACCTGATCATCCAGTCCACACTTCCTCAATTTAGCTGTGAGGATGCTGTGGGAGACTGTGTCAAATGCTTTGCTGAAGTCAAGGTAGACCACATCCACCGCTCTGCCATCATCCATCCACCGTGTTATTTCTTCATAAAAGGCTAAGAGATTGGTCAAACATGATTTCCCCTTGGTGAAGCCATGTTGACTGCCCCTCATAACCCTCTTATCCTTGATATGCCTTAAGATGGCACCAAGGATAAGGTGTTCCATCACTTTCCCAGGGATGGAGGTGAGGCTGACCGGTCTATAGTTACCCGGGTCCTCCTTCTTGCCCTTTTTGAAGACTGGAGTGACATTTGCTTTCCTCCAGTCCTCAGGCACCTCTCCCATTTCCCAAGACTTGGTAAAGATGATGGAGAGTGGTCTAGCAATGACTTCCGCCAGTTCCCTCAGCACCCGCGGGTGCATCTCATCTGGACCCATGGATTTATGGATGTCCAGATTGCTCAACTGGTCTCTAACCCATTCCTCATCGACTAAGGCAAACCGCTCCGTTGACCTGACTTCATCTAAGGTCTCAGGGGTACAGGGCTCTTCAGGACTGCCTGCAGCAGAGTAGACAGAGACAAAGAAGGCATTCAGTAACTCTGCCATCTCTGTATCTTCTGTCACCAGGGCACCCATCCCGTTCATCAGTGGGCCTACATTGCCTCTGGTGTTAGTTTTGTCTGCCATGTATTTGAAAAAGCTCTTTTTGCTGTCCTTGACCCTTCTTGCCAGGTTTAATTCTAAGGATGCCTTAGTCCTCCTAGCTGCCTTCCTACATCCTCTAGCAGCAGCCTTATATTCCTCCCAAGTGGCCAGCCCCTCCTTCCATGACCTGTAAACTCTCCTCTTCCACTTGAGCATACCCAGCAATTCCCTATTTAGCCACGCAGGTCTCCTGGCCCTCTTCCTTGACTTCCTACGTGTCAGGATGCTCTGATCTTGAGCTCGGAAAAAGCAGTCCTTGAATGCCAACCAACTATCTTGGGCCCCTTTACCTTCAAGCAGCCTTGCCCATGGGATTTCCCCTAGCAATTGCTTGAAAAGGCCAAAGTTTGCCCTGCTAAAGTCCAGGGTTGCAATTCTACTTGGTATTCTACTAGTCCTACCACACAAGATCCTGAACTCCACCATCTCGTGGTCGCTGCAGCCAAGGCAGCCCTCAACCCTTACTGCTTCTACCAGATCCTCCTTGTTAGTGAGGATGAGATCCAGCAGCGCTCCTCTCCTGGTTGGCTCATCCACAATTTGCAGGAGGAAGTTATCATCCATACACTGGAGGAACCTCCTGGACTGCGGCTGGGTTGCCGAGTGGTCCTTCCAGCAAACATCAGGGAAGTTAAAATCCCCCACGACGACCATGGCCTGTGACTGTGAGGCCGCTCTCAGCTGCCTGTAGAAGGACTCATCAACTTCCTCACCCTGATCTGGTGGTCTGTAACAGACACCCACAGCAGTATCCCCCCCTGCCAGCCTGCCCCTTAATTCTCACCCACAGACTCTCAACTCGCTTGTCATCTGTCCCTGGACAGAACTCGGTGCATTGTAGTTGCTCTCGCACATAAAGAGCAACCCCACCACCCCTCCTGGCTGGCCTGTCTTTCCTGAAAAGGACATAGCCCTCCATGACTATATTCCAGTCATGTGAGCTGTCCCACCACGTCTCTGTAATTGCCACCAGATCATAGTCTCCTGACTTAACAGGTTTCCAACTCCTCCTGCTTATTTCCCATGCTGTGCGCATTGGCGTACAGACATTCCAGAGAGCGAGTTGAGCACACCGATTCACCCTAGGATTATAGGAGGCCTCCCAGTCTTCATTAATTCTGAAGTGCTGCCCCACTGGGGCAAGCCCAGCTACAACCCCATCCCCCTTCGAATCTAGTTTAAAGCTCTCCAAATGAGCCCTGCTAATTCGTGCCCCAGCATCCTTTTGCCTCTGTGAGACAAACCTTTCTCACTTGTCATTGTCCAGACTGGTGCCCTATAAAACCAGCCGTCATCAAAGAATCCAAAGCCCTGCCTGTAGCACCAGTCTCGAAGCCAATTGTTTATGAACTGAATCTTCCCATTCCTTCCCACATCATCAGTGGAAGATGGAAGGAGTGAGGAGAAGATCACTTGAGCCCCAGACTCTTTCACCATCCGCCCCAAGGCCCTGTAGTCTTTCTTCATCCCCCTCAGACTGCGGGAAGCAGCTTCCTCCCCACCTGTCTGGAAGACCAGCAGCGG